GTAGCAGCAGGGCAATCTTGGGCACGAAGAGAGTGTGAAAAAGAAGCCAGGTGAAAGTTTAGCTTTCAAACTAGGCAGAAATGTGACTTCAGGTGTACCAGGGCTGGGAGAGTGGGGTGTGGGATAGGTACAGGTGATGTGGGCTTATTAAGGAATGAAACCTAGATACCTGTGCTAGAAGGTTAATTCTACACAGGAGGGGGTTTTATTTTCCATAGTTGAAATATTTTTAATAAGAGAATGACCACCACAAATGACTCCCAGGTCACACTGAAAGTAAAAACCAAAGGAGCAGTGTTCCAAGAGTTGTAGGGAAAGTGACCTGACCTGGAATTCGGAACCTCTGAAAGTGTCAAGTATGAGGACAGGAAAGGACTTAGGGTTCCCCCTCCCTAAGCAGCACACAGAGTATTCCCCCTCTAACATATATAAGCTTCCTCTTCCTAAGCTTTACATAGAACTTCATACATAGAGCTTCCCCTCGCTAAACTGTACAGCCCCTTTAAGGACATGACCAGTATATGATTATGGAAACTAATAAAGATGACCCCATGAACTGGAAGATCTGGTGTGGTCAGGACTGATAGTGCCATTAGAACGGCAGTGTGTCAGGTTACTTCAGGGTAGGAAGCGCACGGATGATGCCAGAAGAAGAATAGTGTGGATTCGGGCTATTGTTAGCATAAAAGCTGGTATTTGTTAGAGATGTAGTAACAACCATGCATTTTCAAAACTCTCAGCAAGAAAAAGCCAATTAAATGCTCTAAATAAAAGACTGTAAAATTAGCACATAGCTGAATATTGTGGCCATTTTCTAAAATAGTGAGTTAAATCTTCATAGTTCAAAGATAGTAATTCAGGGAAGAGTATACAGTAGCTCCTTTTGTCTTTTGGGAGTATGTTCTTCAACCCTCATCAGATACCTGAAATTGAGGACAGTGCAAAACTCTGTACTATGTTTTTGCCTAGTTTATATGCCTGAGCTAAAATATACCTTATGAATTAGTCATTATGATTACCAATATTAACTAGAACAATTACAAAATCCTATAATAAAATTATGTAGAAGTCTTTTTCTTGAAGTATCTTGTATGATGGGTTTTAGTCTCTCTTCTTTTCTTTCTTTTTTTTTTTTTTAAGAACATTTGGGCTTGAGAGATGGCTCAGCAGTTAAGAGAGCACTGGTTGCTTTTCCAGAGGACCTGGGTTCAGTTCCCAGCACTCACATGGCAGCTCACAACTGTCTGTAACTCCAGTTCCAGGGAATCTCACACCCTTACGTCAATGCACATCAAATAAAATTAAATAATTAAAACAAAAGAACTTTCAACTTTTCCACTTAATAGAAGATTGGCGTCTTTTTGTATATCCAGAGTACAGCATCACTGTTAGTGGGCCGTTGCTAAATACAGTACAGGTTGCCTAGACATAAGCATTGTGGGTCAGTGGAGCTGACCTGAGAACCAAGCCAGCCAAGTATATGCAGTGTGGATACTCTGGGTAGACAGGTGATTTACACCCCAAGCTGGACTGAGTGGAATGACACAGACCTTAATGTGGCGCTATGAACAGTGTGCAATTTAGAAGTTGTGTGTTCTAGCTACAATCTCCCATTTAATAATTTCAGACCCAGTTGACCATGGATGAAGGAAAACTAAGCATAAAAGTATAAACCTTTAAAATACTTATTATGGGGAGTGGGAGTTGGATAATGGGGTGTAGGAAGTCTGTGTGGTTTAACTGTAAGTACTTGGGAAGAGGGAAGAATGTGGTTTTGTGTATTCTTCCCCTTTGCCAAGAATGACAAAGATAGACCTTGATGGTCTAGATGGGTGAGGTCAGGGAGCTGCTTCTGGTATGCAGATAAAAATAGAATGCATCTTTATCTTACATAATAAAATTTAACATTATTAACACTTAAATGGAAGGTAATTAATTATGTGATAGTTATTTAAAACAGTTATTTAGTCCTTCTATTAATAGACTCACTGTATTGATGGCAGAGGGGACAAATCAGGTTGGTAATTATTTTGTTGTGTGTATGTGTGTGTACATGGGGGGACCAGGGGGTGACATTGTGCGTTCCTCAGTTGCTCTTTACCTTATTGTTTGAGAACCTGGAGCTCACCATTTTGGCTATACTGGCTACCTAGTAGGCCTCAGGGATCCTCCTGTCTCTGCGGCTCCAGTGTTGGAATGTTAGAATGGTCCAAGAATGGTTCTGCGAGAGGAGGATTCTAAGTACTTGTGAGAAAACTCCAAGAAAACAAGACAAGAATATTGTGACCTCAGTTTCTTCAAAACACAGAATTGTTTTTGGAATGCGCTTTTGTGCTCCCCCCAGGTATAGCAGATAGTGAGTTTACTTCTAATTATTTATTGCAATTTGCTATTGTTGTGTCTGTGCCTCTATGGAAAAATGTTTTTATCACGTGCAGCTTGTCCTTGTGATTGTACACTTACGTCAGTCTTCTTAACCCTCAGAGTATAAATTATCTGATGCTCTGAATAAAGCTGGCTATTGGATAAAGCTTTAGTTTGCCTCATTTTAGCCAGTTGGAGAGGTAGACACTGGGAGTACTGGTATATGCCACTGAAACCAGCTCTTAAAATGGGAGCCAGGATCCAAACTCAGGTCATCAGACTCTGCATGGCAAACCCTTTTCTGACTCAGTTCTCTTTCCAGACTGTTTTTCTACTTTGCCATTAGAATTGTTGATTTCAGATCCATTAGTGAATTTTTAACAGCCCGAGATTGGCAGACACTAATACATCAGACTAAGATCAAAGTATTAGGTTTTCAGTGGAGATATAGGTCAGCGGTAGAGTGTGTACTTAGCACGTTCAAGGCCCAGTATCGTCTCCATTCCTCGCTCGTCCGCTCCCTGTACATTCAGAGGAGCAGTGGTCGCAGGAAAATGGTGTTTCCTTCACCACCTTGTTCACACAGTTGCCAACTCTTGGTGACCTTCCATCTCTGTACTTCTCTGAGATATTCTGAAGCAAACCTCAGACATCACTTAATTTTATTTTGAAGTATTTGAACAAATGTCTTTAAAAGGTGAAGATTCATAAAGTTCATAACAAATACAAATGGCACGATTCCATTTCACCCAAAACCCACAGTAATTCCTTAACATTTAATACACAATCCATGTTTAAGTTTGCTCAGTTGTCTTACATTCGCTTATAGAAGTTGTTTGAGTTACAGTAGAGATGGCGTGCACAGGTTGCAATTTGTTGTTGCTTTAGACTCAGTACATAGGCAGCCTCTTCACAGTTTGTTCTCCTTGCAATTTGTTCGTGCTGGTATTTTATTGTACAATTGACATAGCCTGCATTTCCCATAGATTGCATTATATTTGGAGGCTTGGCCAGATTCAAACTGAACACTGGGCAGGAGGACAGACTACTTCAGAGCTGTGTCCTCGCGGGAGGTGCGTATCTGTGTGTATCTTTCCTGTGATGTTCTCACCATTGATGGTCACCATTTTGTTTCCTTGCTTTATTAGTAGTTGTAAAATGTCAGACTTCTAATCTTGATTTTAATATTTCATTTTTCATTATTTGCTAAAAATGATTCTATAAAGAAATGTTTTATTTCTTGTTAGTTTCAGGTACAGCTTTGACAGCACTGGCAAGATAAATGCCTGGTTCCTCCCGGAGGGTCTTGCAAAGGTCGTTATTTGGAGATTTGTTTAGTGTCTCATGAATTTGTGGGCCAATATATTTCTTGTATTAAAAATTCCTCACTTATATAATCCTTATGAATGATGAAAGTTTTCAGTCTTTGACCACTAAGAACTTCTTCAAGGTGGTGCATAAGCCCTTTTCAGAATCTCTCAGCATCATCTCATGACATCTTTGCTTTCTCAAATAACCAAACCTCTGGATTCTTCAGTTCAGCTTATATGCCTTCTTCAGATATGGTATGAGACAGTTGACAAGGAAGGGATATTTAGATACGTTGTGTGGCTCTTTTTTTGTTTCTAGGATTTCTCAGTGGATATAGATATTAAATGTTTTTTTTTTAAAAAAAAACTTAGATAAAAGTTACCATACATTCATGTTGATGCTTCTGTCTTGGATTTTGTACTAAAAGATGTTAGAGCTCAGTTGAGCAGTGGTGGCACATACCTTTAATACCAGCACTCAGGAGGCAGAGTCAGGCGGATCTCAGAGTTCAAGACCAGTCTGGTCTATAGAGCAAGTCTCGGGGCAGCCAAGGCCACACAGAGAAACCCTGTCTAAAAAACAAAACAAAACAAAAAAGAATGTTAGAGCTCATATGAGCAGATTTTTGTTTTTATTTTGTTTTTTCCATATTGGAAATCCCAGTGCCCACGTAGTGCAGCAGCTCCCCTCTTGCTTTGTCCCTGCTACACGTGTTAGTCTGAGGGTAAGAGTACCAACAAAGATTGCCTGACTGGCCTTTCACATTTTTGTCATTTGATTTTGTTATATATTTAAAACATTTTACTGTGTGTGTATGTCTTTGTGCGTGTGTATGTGTGTGAGTGTGTATGAGTGTATGTGAGTGTGTGAATGTATATATGTGTGTGTGTGTGAGTATATGTGTGTGTATGTCTCTGTGTGTGTATGTGTGTGAGTGTGTGTATGAATGTATGTGAGTGTGTGAATGTATATATGTGTATGTATGAGTATATGTGAGTGTATGTGAATGTGTGCGAGTGTATGTATATATGTGTGTGTGAGTGTGTGTATGTATATGTGTGTGTGAATGTGGGTGTGAGTGTGTGTATGAGTGTATGTGAGTGTGTGTGAATGTGTGTGTGTGTGTGTGTGTATGTGGGGGGGGTGGGTGTGAGACTGATCAGAGGACAACCCCACATGTCAGTCCTTGCGTTCTACCCTTCAGGTTGTGTTTTAAAGTAATTTTAACTGGTTACTTTATGTTTTTGTCATTTTACCTCAATTTACCTCATTTATTTAATTTCTCCTGCTTTATAGGATTCGTGTTAAAAATCTAAGTTTCCCCAAATCATCATTTCTGAAGTCCAGTTTGTAAACAGGTACAGCAGAGGCTATGTCCACTGCTGACCCTGAATTCTGCCCCCTTTCCCAGTAGCTCTTTGTCAGTAAGAAAACCACCTGCACACATTGCTTTTAAAATTTAAACGAATTAAGACTAAGTACGCGTTTTTCTTGTCACCCCAGTGACATTTTAAGTGCTGTTTCAGGGAGCCGTCGACCTCATAGAGCAGACTGTAGAACTCTGCTGGCATGGCTGAGAGTTCCACTGCCCAGCCTACCCCCAGATAACGCGTTTCTTTAAACATTTGCTTTAGCCTCATACTTTTTTTCTTTTTAAAGTAAAAGGTTATATATTTTTTCTGTCATGTCACAAAATACCCGAAGCTGAGTAATTACAAAGAAGAAAGATTTATTAGCTTGCAGTTTAGATAGTGAGAGCCCAAGATTGGGCAGCTGCTCTTCTTTGGTCCCCTGTGAAGACCTCATGGCAGATGATGGAAGCCCTTGGTGGTGGAGATCGCACGGTGAGACAAGAAGTCATGGAATTCAGGGGCTGGACCTGATCCATGGCCCCCACATGAATATAAGGTCTCTGTTTTCTATATTAGAGAAGCTCTTGACCACCCCTTTATTGAGTTGGATCCTATCCCTTTATTTTACTTTGAGGATGAGCCTTGCCCACTTGCCCAGGCTGCTCTGGAGTTCATGGTCATCTTTCTGGTAGCTCAGATGATAGCTGTATGGAATCCTGCTTGGTCTAGCCTTGGTTTTGTATAAACAACACACCATCTCAAGAACTCATCGTCGGAGACCAGGGTTAATTCCTCCCAAGGGTAATACTCTCCTGACCTAATTACTTTGTATAAATCTGGTCTCTTAAAGACACCATCCACCTGAGCTTTGGGACAAAGCTTCCAAACTCTATTTATCCCTTAGTGCAGACTTCCTGTGGTTTGTGTGCTGTTATCTGTTGATGCTTTCCTCTGTACCCCATGACGTTACACATGCTGTTCATGCTAGGCCAGTGGTGCGCTTCTGTGTGATGCTCTCACCCTGTCCATTTCTTAGTATCTCCTAGATATTTTCCTAGGATATAGAGCAAATATAGAGAGTCACAATCATCCTCATTACTCCAGTAGCTTACAGTCTATTAGAAGGCCAGTGCCTTCCTGTGGCATTCTGGTCATGTCATCTGTCATGGTGCTTGAGTAGCAATGACTGCCTTGTGCACACATCTTGTCATGTATTAGGAAGCACTCCTACTTTAACAGTAAGGCCCCATCTTCATATATGAAAACAGGAATAATTCTCATTATGGAAGTAGCCCTTTTCCATTGCATTAGTAAAACGAGAGAGAGAGAAACAGAGAGACAGAGAGACAGAGAGAGAATGAATGTACAATTCATTTGCTCCAGCAGGCTCTGTTTGGGTGCTGGTTCATTCCTTGCTTTTCAGATTGTTTGAGTTCTTGAGTTTGGACGGGAAGAATACTCAGTATTTCCACGTCTTTCCAATGGACGTGTGCATTTGAGATATGTGGGGTGCACGAGTTAGAGGTTTCCTTGAACACAACAGTTTTGCATGTTCCCAAGGATGTGTATGGTATTGGTTTTCCAGTCCTTTTCTTAATCTGTGATAAATTAGGCATTTTTATTTAGGTTACTTCTAGATTAAAAAGTTGCATTGTAAACTGGGCATGGTAGCACACACTTTAATCCAGCACTTGAGCACTGGGAGGCAGAGGCCAATGCCAGTGCATCTCTTAGTTTGAGAACATCCTGACTAGCCAAGGTTACAGTGAGGCCCTGTCTCAAAAGCCAAAACCAGCACCCTCAACCCAAAAGCTGCATGAATACTACTACATGAAGCATTTTTACTTCCTCATATTTTGGGGGGGGGGCAGAAATACAGTTATTAAATTAACTATCAGAAACATAGATAAGATGGGCATGATATTTTTTTTTTTTGCCAGTAATCCAGCAGTTAAAGGTGGAAGCAGGAGGCTTGCCATGAGTTCAAGGTTATCCTTGGTTACAAACCTTTCTCAAAAATCCAATTTCTAGAAGCCATCAATAAATTAAACATAAAATTTCTCCTCTCAAAATCTCCTTATGGTATCTCTGGCCACATTGTTACTATATTGAAGCATCTTTGCTAATATAATAGCTTTAGAATGTGTGTTATCTTTTTGGGAATATTTTCTATTTTTATCAATTAATTTTTTACCTTGTTTTTTAGGGGTTCTATGAGGTAGTTATGTGCCAAGGTCGATTTTTTTCCATCAAATATGTTTTAAACTTTTAAAACATTCTTTTGTTTTACAGTTTTAGAGTGAATCTTAGGTATTTTTCTTTTCTTTCTTTTTGTTTTTGTTTTTTGAGACAGAGCTTGTCTGTGCAGCCTAGACTGTCCTGGAAGTTACTCTGTATATAAGGCTGGTCTCAAACTCAGAGATCCACCTGCCTCTGCCTCCTAAATCCCAAGATTAAAAGTATGTGCCAGCACCACCTGGATAGTTATTTTTCTTGTTGGGGTTTGTTTGTTTGTTTGTTTGGTTTTTGCCACACCCCACATAGGAAAATACTGGCAGTTTGATCATTATTGTCTTGTAAATTTTCAGGATTGTGTTTCTAATTCTCAGGATTAAAGACAAATCAAAATTAGCTGACCTTATTCAGAAGGAATGTTATTTTCTAGGTCATGACGAAGTGTGTCTTATTTCAAATATGTATATTAATGTATAAAAGCATAAATAACAGCCTCTTTCTTATCCTGGGATGCTGTAAATTGTTTTGCCTTTAGTCTCTCTTGTTTTGATTAGAGAAATGATTTCATAACCCTTCAATGAGTCCGTTTCTTTCTCTTTCCTCAATGTAGGGAATAAAGTATAACTGTGTTTACTGATGCAGACTGCAGACATATGGTGAAAACAAGCTCGTAAATAGTACCAGAATACCAAGGCTACAAAAATACTCTTCCATATTTTCATGAATCTGTAAAATTATGTGACTGGAGGTCATTTTTCCCAACAATGGGGGAGAGAGCCAGAAGTCCAGATAGTGATCAAGAGAGAAGAGCTGGCAAGCACAATTACTCTCGCTATTCGTCTGACTTTGGGTCCTCACCACAGTCTTCTGGCCATTCATCACCTGTCAATCCGCCTTCTTGTCCAGCTACTAAGGGGAAGAATCCCAAAAGACAATTTTCAGACAACCAGGTATATCACCAAGGTAAGTGTGTGCTGTGAACAATCTCAGGCACCAGGTCCTCCGGGGCAGCGCGACAAACCCCGTGTGAATGAAGCTTTTCTTCTGGGGTATAAGTTGCTGTGTGCACGGGTGGGCTGAGCTCCATTTCACCTAGGCTTTGTTTCCATAAATGTTGTGTTGCTTACATGTATACCTTGTTATATATTAACATTTTATGTCTGAAGTCACACTGAGGAGTGTACCAGAAGCCTGCTCATTTTTCCTCTTTCTTGTGATCTCAGAGGCACTTACTGTAAAGGCAAAACCTGCAAAACAATTGTGCATTCTGTGTCATTTTTTACAGTCACTGAAAGCAGGGATCTAAACTGGTCATGAGGTATTTTCATTGACGGTGCTGTTGACCTTAGGTGGTTAGCACAATGCTCACTGGAAACATGCAGCTTAGGCTAGGGATGCCTTAGGACCCTGGATCACCATTCAGTTTGTTTGCCTTTCACCGACTCAAAGGAGACTAGATTATTATTAAACACAATTTTATTATTAGAATGTTACTATTCTGGAGCATGCAGAGCTGCGTACTGTTCATTTTAATAAATCTCTAGGTCAGGAAAATCCCACTTCATGGAGCAATAGAATGCACAAAAGTCTCTAGTCTATAAAAATGGCGTAGAACAATACGTTACATCAGGCGAAGTAATCATAACACATTGATGCATGTACCAAGTTATGACAATAATGCAGATTATTGAGACTTGCTGCTGCCAGCTAGGGGGCGGGAAGTTGGGGACTGAGAAAAAAACAGAAACCATATAATGAAATACCCACATCTGATGGTAACAGACCATATTCATTATTTTTGTGGGTGACAGCTGTTGGACTGTTTAAGAAGGGGTGTAATTAAATTTGCATTAACAATTGCTTTGAAAAGTGATGTTTACACATTAAAAAACTACAAAGAGGTGTCTTAGCAACGGATAAAAGGTATTTGTTCCTTAAGCTTGATGATGCGAGTTTGACTCAGGAACCATGGAGGAAGGAGAAACCCAACTTCATGAACTCCAACTCTGCCCTTTAATCTACACATGTGCACACATTCTCAATAAAATAATAATAATAATAATAATAATAATAATAATAATAATAATAAAGAAAATGGCAAAGAATGAGTATCCACATGAGAGCAACTTTTTTTATGCACCCAGGCCAGAGTCTCAGGATATCCATCTGTTGACCTCTGAGTGCTTCTCTTGTTTGATTGCCATTCCATCTTGACTTCTTTTTGTTTCTTTCTTTTTCTCTTTAACTTTCCTCTGAATCTGGTTCTTACAATTAGTTGGGATCATAGTCTCAAGTTTCTATATAACACACATCTCTTGTCAAGTTGAACCTTAGAAAATGTCTGGTATTTCTAAGGATAATTTACATATGTAGGGTATTGGTGGCAAGAAGTATGTTAATTTTCTGTTCCTCTTCCGGAAGCTCCTCATTAAGGAGTTGGAACTATGTGCGCCTTAACTTATTTGAGAAGATTGCTGAGAATCAGATCAGTGAAAAACAGTTCCAGCAGCAGTCAGAAAGTCTCCCCTCTGGCTTGCCTGGCTTTCTGCTCTGTGATGCTTTGAATTGAAGTCTGAGTTCATTTGTCTGCCCTAGTTCAAGCAACAGGACCCAACTGAATTAATTTCCTGTCTTAGTTACTCTTCTATTGCTAAGGAGACACTGTGACCACACAATCTTATAAAGGAAAACATATAATGGGGACTTGCTTACAGTTTTAGAGGATTAGACAATGATTATCATGGCAGGGAGTATGGTGGCAGGCAGGCGGGGAGAGGGAAAGAACAGGAGACTGGGCCTGGTGACATACCTCCTCTAACAAGGCCACACCTCCCAATCCTTCTCAAACAGTTCTGCTAACTGGGGACCAAGCTTTCAAAGATGTGCGGTTGTGGGGACCGTTTTGGTAAGACCACCACACTTCCACTCCAGGTACCAGCTGCTGTCATGGTTCCTGTTCTTTCACTGTGTTGAGATAGCATCACCAAAGCAACTGTCATGGGAGAAAACATTTGACTGGGGGCTTGCTTACAGTCTTGGAGGGTTAGCCTCTTATCATGGTAGGGCTGTGGTGGAACTTAGGCAGGCATGGTGCTGGAGAAGTTAACTGAGTGCTTTACCTTCTGATCCCTGGACAGAGAATGACATGGCCTGGTGTGGGCTTTTGACTTGGAGGTAGTTTGTTTGTTCTTGTATTTTAAGCTTTGGATGAGCTTTTAGATCCCTCTTTTAAAGAGTAGACTTGTGTATATCCTGAGGCTTAAACTCAATAGATTTTAATGAAAACACTTTAAAATTTTTGAGAAATGTAATTTACTATGTATACTTTAAGGATTTTATGTGCTTTAAAATGACAATTATTTTCTTTATATGTCTGTATGTCTTTGTGTATGCTTCTGTGTGTGTGTCTTTTGTGTGTGTGTGTGTGTGTGTGTGT